CAACATAAGATGAGGAAGAGGTAAAAACTGAAGACCAGGTCTTCTGCTGGGTGACTTAGGATGCGGTGGTTCCAGAGTAAGAGAGAAAAGTATGAAATCCATCAACGAAATGTTTGGACATACTTGGTTTGGGGCGACTGGAACTACTTGGTGAAATATTCACTTGGCAGCTGGAAACGTGAGGCTAAAGAATGAAGATAAAGATCTGATAATAATCCACCCAGCCAACCTACACTCCTGGTTCTAGAAAACCAGCAGTTTGATGGTAGGATGGCTCAATTCAAAGCAGACTAGGTGCTATACGTGTTTTCCATGCTCTGTTATTAACTGCTCACCATAACGCATTCTTAGCCCCATTTTATGGATGAACTCTGTGGCTCAGAGATGTTATATAATGAGCTGACCCCAGGAGTGAGGTGTCCAAGTCTGATCCATCCCTGTTTCCCCCAATACCAAAAAGAAAAAAAGGTAGCTCTTTTCTTTCTATTTTGAAGTCTCCAGTGTTCAGTCCTGCCATGCATTCCTTTGCCCAATAATGTCTTCTCCAGTCCTGATCTGCACTCATTCTACTCCACTGAAATCACACCTAATCGGCCCCAATTACATTCAGTGCCATGCCCTTGTCTCATCACTGCTTTAAACTTAGTTAGTTGCTCACTCTCTCATTAAGTAGGATTCCAAGACAATATCCTTTCAGCTCCTTTGTATTGAATTCTTTCCACAATCTCATGAGGATATTGGTTCTTACATTAGCTTTGGGTTTTAGGACAGTCAGCACTTCAGAATGCATGCTGGACATCCATCAGCCCTGCTTTACAAAACACGTCATAATGACACTAAATCCACCCAAATAAAAGCTTCACATGCTACTGAACTAGCATTAAAACAAAGCACATTAATTTCCTCTCCTCGGCGATTTGGTGGCTACTTTGAGTTTTATATTCCAGTTTTCTCTACTCCCTGGCAAAATGTCAAATCATAAACTGTTTCTATATTTCTTTATTGTGAATATCATGGTTCAATACCTTTTAAAATCTCTACCCTCCTTAGCAGCTCTCCAATGGAAAGTCATGTTTTCTTACTGTGTTTCTTGCTATTCTTGGTTTGCCAGTACTGAACTGAAAAATTCTATATTCTCACATGCTAGGTCTCACACTTTCCTTCCAAGCATCTCAGATAACTCTGAAGTCATAAATTAATTCTCACAGGGTGGTAGGTGAAAATCATTAGTCTTCTTACAGATGAGGAAGTAGTTGCCCAGAGTGGACTGTGACTCATCCCACGCCCTGGATCATTGTAATAAACCATTCACAGGCAACCTGCCCTCACTTAAAATACTACGGTACTTGAGTTTTTGCTTCTTCTTCTTTTTTTTTTTTTTCCCCTAGAGAAAGCATGTCAGCATTCAGTGTATTATAAGAAGAGTGGGTAATTTGGGATTGGGTGTAACATAAAGACTCTGTGGCTCTTTGGCCTAGAGAAAAGAAGAAAACAGAGGGACATGAAGACTGTTCTTAAATAGAAGAACAGTGGGTGTGTAGAACAGAAAGAAGGTGGAGTGTTATAGCTCAGGAGATGGAACTGGAAGGAACACAAATGCAGGCCGACCTTCAAAACTTCCTTTTAAGTCCGTTTATAAAATTCTCCAGGAGAACTTCCCTGCCTTCTTCAGATCCAAACACAGGACCCATCCTTCATGCAGTCCCCCTTGCTGTCGCTGCCCAGAGTGTGGGGTTACTTTGTCCCTGAACTCTGTCATGTGGCACCAAAATCCAAATGTTTCCAACTAGAATTTTTGGCCCGCCAACTAGAAAGTGAGCTTCATGTGGGCAGAGACCATGATATGTTCATTCCATGTCCCTATCATTTAAATAAAGAACTTCCCTAAAATAGAATACTTCTGAAAGTAGCGAGATCCCCATTTCTAGAGGTATTTACAGAGATTGTGATAGAGGGACTTTGATCATCCAACACTATCATTCTGTAATTTCTAAATTTCCTAATGTGCTTTCTTATTTAAAGTTATTTCACCAATCTCAAAAGAATTTTAAAATAAATGTAACTAAATGGTGCACAGACTTGTCCTCAAAATGATATTATAATTTGTTTAAACTCTTCTTCTTTTTTTTTTTTTTTTTTGAGGTGGTCTTACTCTGTTTCCCAGGCTGGAATACAGCATGATCATAGCTCACCGTAACTTTGAAGTCCTGGGCTCAAGAAGTCCTCCTCCCTGGGCCTCCCCAAACCCTGGGATTATAGACATGAGCCACCACACCTGGTCCAATATACTGATTTTTAATAATGATTGATCCTAGAAACTATTAAATGTATTTTCAGGTCAGTGTCTGTACTTTTAAGCAAGTGTCTATAAATGTTTTTGAACACCTACTATGTGCCAGACTCTAGGAATAAAAGGATAAGAAAAGACAGCCCTGCCCTCAATAACTCACATTCTACTGACAGCCCTGTCTCCATTATTGGGATTGAGAGGTCACTGTCCAGGTATACAATTTTGGCTTTACACCTCTGCTCTTCAGGAAGGAGAATGTTTTCCTAAGGTTATCACATGTTCTATTTACATGTCCTCTTTGGAAACTGATATTACAAGAGAGGATCTTGGACCCCTTGGTGTCACTTAGGTCTGAACTGTAATAGATCCACCTGGGAACCGACAATGGCCAATAATAGAAAGGGAAGATGGGGGCTCCCAAGGTCATCTCAGAACCGACCTGAACTTGAATCTTTCCCCGTTCTAAATTATGTGTAAAGACATACGCGTCCCCGCACCCACTCCTCCCCCACCCCCAAAGCTGCACAATTCCAGCTGGGAAAGGGCAAATCTTGCTGGGCCGTCAGTTAACTGTCATTATTTGAAATGCAATATAGAGGCTCCCACCCAGACCCTGCTCTACCAGATTAGAGTCTGTTTCTAATCAAATGGAATTTAGATTTAAACCGCAATTAGATTTGGGATTTACCATCGTTTCTACTTTCATTCATTTTGTGGATTCCAGCGTTCTCCAGGCCCAGTCTTAATCCAATGCACTTCAGAGGGAAAATTACACAGGAGTTGTCGGCCAGCGGGGGGAGGGGGCCTGTTCTAGCACCGGGTCCCCTGGGGAGGGTCGAGGCGGGGAGCGGCGCCTCCAACCGGGTGGGACCCGCCTTGCCCTGCCTCGCCTCGGGGATCCTTGGCGCTCACAGCCGACCCCCGGCGACTGCGCGACCCGCCGGATCCCGGCGTTTCCCCCTTCCTTGTCTCTTGGACGCCGCCCTCGCTCCTGGAGGCTTTGGCGGCCAGCTCCCCGGGCCTTTCTGGTGCAGAGGCCGCCAGCCCGCGCGGCCCAGGCGCGGCTTCACTTCTGCAGAAGGAAAGCGAAAGCCGCGGCCGGCGGGCCGAGGGGGCGGCCCAGGGACGGCGAAACGCGCCGAGCTGCTGCGGTTTCCGAATCCGCAGCGGTGATCGAGCGCGGCCACCGCGCCGTGCAGACCGGGACTCCAACTTCCAGGGTAACTCGGAGCCTCTCCGAGCCCGCTGCAGCCCTGGACACACCCTCCCATAGTCCTGACTCCTCCTGCAGCCCCGGCCGGGCCACCCCACCTCCGCGCAGCGCGGACCGGCCGGCCCCCAGCTTCCCTCTGCTGATCAGGACGCGCCAAAGGGAGTTCGGAGGCTCAGCAGCCCCCAAGTTCGGTATCCCGGGTGACACGACGCCCTCCCCGGAGCCTCCGCCGGTGGCCCTTACAGCCTAGCCGCGGGAAGATGCAATGCCCGGCGAGGGGCGCTGCCCGAATTTGGAAAAACAGCCTCGTTAGCCTTGGGAGCGCCTCGCTCTCCCAACCGCACCCCCTGGACAGACGATTTTCATCCTGGGATGCGCCTTGGTGGAGGGGACCGGGAGCAGAAGCTAGAGAAGAGAGGAAGCAGCGCGGAGTTGCTGGGGTGCTGGCCGACGCCCGGGGGCGGCGGGCCCTGCGGCTCCGCCGGGCAGCGGGAGCCAGCTCCTGCGCCTCTGCCTCCCAGCGAATCGCACTCGCTCACACACACACACACACACACACACACAACACACACACACAGGCAGTGCCGCTAGCGCCCTCCACCCCTCCAGCCGGAATGCGGAGGTCAGAGCCACTGTCCACTTGAAGGCAGGGACTTAAGCTGAGATGAAGGCGGAGGCTCTGCTCTCATCTGCAAGACTTGCACCTTCCTAGGAGGTCCCCCAGTTTCCCCTGGGCGAGGAAGGTCTGGCTTCTGAGATTCCGCTCTCTGGGAATCTAGCGGTTCAAGCTGCAGAGGGGCGGGGATGGACTCGGAGGGAGCCCTGAAGAGCGAGCCTGCGTTCACCTCCGGCCCTCCGCGCAGAGAACTGGCCAGCCCCACTCGCCTCCAGCGCACAACTAGGCGGCGGGAGCCGGGGAGCCGGACCCCAGGGCGCTCCAACTCCGGCGAGGGCGGGGAGGGAGTGACAGCAGCAACCACTGCGCGCGTTGGCAAAGGCACGGAATCTCCGAATAGGCTACACGGCGGGCGAGGGGGGTGGAGGCGATAGGGGCGGAGGAGGAGTTGCCGGAGCGGAGAGGGATGACGTCCTCCAGCGCCTCAGGCTCGGAGGGGCTGAAGATTCGTGCGCTCGCCCGGCTCCGCGCACTGGCTCGAGGGTTCGCGGAGACGCCGCGCCCGGCTCCCGCAAGGCGCGCCGGGGGTCGACCCTGGCTAGCCCAAGCCAGGTCGCAAGCTCCCCTGCCCCTCGAGGCGCCTCTCTGCCCGTCCCTCGCCTCGGGGTGGTCGCCCGGGTGTCCCTGCCGATTCCAGGTGGGCCCGGGCAGGCAGCACCCCCGGTCGGACCAGCCTCGCTCCTTCCTCTCTATCTCCCCCATCGACCTCAAGCCAAGGGCAGGCGCCCGCGCCCCGGTCCCTGCCCACCGGGCGCGCTGGCGCTCCCTGCCTGTGCCCGGCAGCCCAGCAAGATGGGGCTCTGGAAAGGAAAGGCGCTCACCTGGGTCGCCGGAGCCTTCCTCCCCGGCCCCTTCTGGAGCCTGTTTCCAGCCTCCAGGCACAACCTTCCTCGGAGACAAAAAGTAGCGCAAGGGCAGAGAGGCAGGGCTGTTCACAGGTTCCTGCGCAGCGGCTCTTTCCCTCGAATTTTTCCCGGTCCAGTCTCGGGCTCGCCGGCGGGAAAGAGCTCCCGGAGGCTGGAAGGAGCCGCCAGAGCCGGAATCCTCCCGCAGCGGTGGCGGCGGCACCTCCAAGTTGCCACCTGCAGCGCGCGTCGGGCGCCTGTGACAGCCCGCGCCGCCCAGCCCGCGCGGGCCCGCCCTCCCTGCGTGCTGGTTGGCTGCGCCCGGCGCCCGGGCGGTCCCCGCTCTCGGCCCCGCCCTGCGCCCGCCTCCGAGCCGCGCTCGCGAAGTGTGGCTCTCCGTTCAGGCCTCCCTGGGCTTTATAGCCAGCGGGCTCTGCAAGCAGGGAAGAATTCGCCACACACACATACACACACACACACCACAATTTTGTGTAGGCAGAGACAGGAGGAAAGGGAGCGGCTATGAGGAATGTCCCTTCGTTGCGCCTTGAGGGGACCTGGCAACTTGATTTCTTTGCTTGTATTAAATTTTCGCAGGCTCTAAAAAGAGTTAACCTCACAGCAGCAGAGTATTAGGGATGCGGCCCAAAAATGGTTTGGGAATTGTTTCATCACTCTGCTTCACATGTAGCACCAAACGTGAAGAACAGAGCCGTGCTGGTCTTTCCTCAACCAGCCGGCACCACGGCAGTGGAGCGCCTTAGGGTTTCAGCCTTGCCAAGCCCGCCCTCACTCGTGCCCTCGTTTCCTGAAGGCCGAGCGTGTCACCACGCACTTGCTTGATTCTGTGGCCTTCAGAGTCCAGGCCATGAAAACTCAGGCCGGAGCACAAACGAAGGAGGCCTGTACTTTGTACAACTCCTAGACCTTTCAATAAACAAAGGGACCATTATCTTTCTTTTCCCCTGCTCCTCTGTCTCCAAAGACCCGAACAGGAATTCACTGCGCAATCTGCTCGGGGCACTCAGGCACTCCTCACTCACTCTGCCTCTGAGTAGCTCCTGAAGGCGTGCTTTCTGGAAAACTGATTTGGTACAACCTTCCGGAGGAGAAAAAGCTATAAAAACATGACAATCAGAAGTCTGGAAAGCCATCCAATCAGTCAGAAATGTCTGACTCTTGGGTGTATCTATGTGAAAGAGGTCCATTGCCAAGTGCCTATTAGTTTAATAACGTTTGAAAATTAACTGTCCAAATAGCATATTTTATAGCCCATTAGGGGAAATGTCTATGTTTTGAGAGTGCAGGTGTGGCACTGTTAATGGGGACATCCAGCTGTGTTTTGTGGACTCCTCAGATGAGTGGGGTGAAGGGAATTGGCTTTCCTGGAGGAAGTCAGAAGGCTCTTTACAAGGACATATTGGGAACAGTTGGCGCCAGTCAAGAAGCTTCTCCTGACAACTATTGCTGAGTAACTTGTTCCACTATTTTATCACACCAGTTGATTGCATTTCAAAGGTTTTCTTTCATGACACCCTGTCATCCTGGGATCTCTTTGGGAATTAATCGCAACTTTTTTTCCTACAGTCAAGTGCTTACTTACTCTGGGCACTCTCATAAAAGGCAAACTAGTCCTTGTCCTTCCCCCTTGAGACTTCTGAAGACAGCAGTCCAGTGGCAAAGCATTCAAAAGGAGATATTTCAATACCCACGTTTAAGTGCTTGCTTACAAATTGCACTTTGACCTGAATTGGGTGCAACAATGAATAGAATGAAGGTGTGGCTTGCTCAAGTTTAAGTCCATGTTGACTCAATAACTAGAGGAATCCCTGATTTAAAAAAACAAGTCCGCAAGAGGGGCTAAGACAGCAGTGATTGTTAAACTAAATGTGTCTGTGATGTTGACAGGTGAAGCACAGATACTTGACAAGATGCATTTCTTTCTGGGAGCACTGTTTCAAGCTTAGAAGTAATGAAAAGTTCCTCCTCGGAAGAGCAATTTCCTTAAAATTAGAGAAGGAACTCAAAGACTCATGTGAATGAAAAAGCATGATATAGGAAAAAGAAGAAAGATGAAAAAGAATTGAAAGAGAAAATTAATCTGACAGTGGGAGAAATTAGTGGACACTGGAGCCCTGTATGTATCAAAAGTCTTTTTTTTTTTTTGAGTTGGAGTTTCACTCTTTTTTTTTTTTTTTT